GATGTGTAATTTGGCCAATTATATAGAATCCAAGAACATTTTAATACTAATTATTATTCTTTTACAGTTATGACACCAAACAACTTTCATTACCACAAAAGGTGGACATAATAGCTGAAATCCAAAACAATGACCACAGTAAATACTGGTGAGGATGGAGCGACAATGACATCACTTGTAGGTGCATGTGCAAAACAACCACTGGGGAAGGGCCTTGGGAAGCTTTCCATGTAAGTGAATAGATTTTCATCAAACAAACCAGAAAATGCACTACTAGGTGTTTACCAAAATGAGGTGAAAACTCTGTAGACTATTGTAATGGTGAATATATGATAGTACATATTTTTCAGATTCCATAGAACTACACAATACAAAGCCTATGGACTTCATTTAGTAATCATGTACTAATATTGGTTCATCAATTATAACAAGAGTGCCCCAGCAATGCAAAATATTAATAATAGGGAAGGCCATGCAGGGAGTAGGAACTTTATGCACTCTCTGCTCAATTTTTTGGTACATCTAATACTGCTCTAAAAATAAAGTTTATACATTAAAAAAATTAAAAGCTCATGTAGATAACATTAATGCTGGCACTGAAAATAATTTTTCTAATTTGTAACATATTGACAAAACAGTTGTTAAACTAAACCTATTAATTATCTATCCATCACTCCTGTGTCATGAAACTTAAAGTTCTTTAAATGTGTAGCTATATTCCAAAAGATATTTAGTTTAACAGTCTGTCATGCAGAACTAAATTAATAATCCCCCAAATGGCTTTCTGAAAGATTTTTAAACATTATTTTTCCATATGAAATATTCATACTATATTGGCATAGCTCTCAATTTTACTGATTTTCAGTTTAATTTTTATTTTCACAAGCCTTAATAAAAATTTTTGCCTCCAATCTACTGTTATGTGACTGAGTGTAGAAGTTACTGAGTCCATAATATGATCACAAAGCCCATGCAGCGTTTCTCCAACTTCACCGTGTATGGGAGTCAACTGGTGATCATTCTGATATACAGATTCCGATTCAGTTGATCTAAGGTGACACCTGGTTGTCTGTATGTCTAGTCAGCTTCCAGATGGTGCTGATATGTATCCACACTTAGGCAGTAAGGTTCTAGAGAATATGTGGGCCATGAAGCTACCACCACCGTGAACAAGAATTCAGCAAGCTGAGCAATCCTTGCCAAGGATTCAAGAGCTGTTTTTTTTCCTGTTTTTCTTCTGCCTAAAGAAGCTTCTAGGGCTCCCAGCACTTCTGCTTTCTCAATATGTAATCCTTTTCCATTTCATCTAAATGAGGAAGGCTGCTAACCTTTGCACAACGAGTGCGCCACCCATTTAGTCATAATACTCTCTTGAACCAAAGACCATCTATCAATATTTCTAGTTCAATTCCTCAATTTATATGTCTTCAATCGCAGAAGGATCAAGTGACTGGCTCAAGGTCACTTATCCAGTAACTGTAAAGGTCAGGTCTCAAATCCAGGTTTTTTTAAAATTTCAAATCCAACTTTTTCCCATTTTCTGTTGCTTCTAAAAATGATGCACTGCAGAGAATAGGAACTAGGTGGTCTAGACAACAAAATCCCCTTTCTGAATGAAACTCCTCAGCCTTGAGCTTCCTGCTGAAATGCCTAACATGGGTTTAAGATCTTGCAAGGTTCAGATTCAGCGGGGGGGGGGGGGGGGGGGGAAGGGGGATTTTTTTTTGTGCTTTTAAATGTCTTGAAATTCAACAAAATTATGTGAATTTTTGAACTTATTTGAGTTTGGTGTGATGGTGTAAGAGAAAATACTTGGATATGCCACCATGGAGAGTGGGGACAAAAAGAATTTATTCTACTTCCCCAAACCTGACGGCCCTCTTGAAAGAAGTTCCAGCCAACCATGTGTGGAAGTCAGAGGCAGGTGGATATTTACCCCATAACACCATTATAGAGAAACCTGGCCTATATTGGGAAAAACAAACTAATGACTCGAGGTTTTCAATGAACTTCCAGGCCATTAGCGATAACTAAAACTAAACTGACCTTCATATTGTGAAGAAAACAAGACCCAGAGAAGTGAAAAGAATGTTGGGTCATTGCATAGATATTGTTACTTAGAGCTAAGATGTAAAGTTTCCCAACTTCTGGTTTAGGGGCAGGCTTCAAATTTTAAAAATTAATTTTCCATATGAAATATTCACACTATTTTGGTATAGTTCTCAATTTTACTGATTTTCAGCAAAACTATGACTTCCACAGGAGGTCAGGGTGGAGGATTAATAAATGTGAACTATTTAAGTGACATCGGGGTTATACATGTCCTTCCAGAATCCCTTTGAAGATTCCTTCCAACAGTAAGAATTTGCCTTTAATACTTTCACCTCCTCCTTCCTGGAGCCCTGTACCAAAAAAGGAAGTTAAGATGATACAACCATGGTGGTATGCACCCTTCTGAACACTGGAAAGCAGACCAGCCCATCATGAAAATTCTGTTTTCCAGGGCATCCTCTGTAAGGGTGTGTGTTGTATACAAGCACCTCTGAATAAAGGGTCTCCAGTGGGGTGGCCAGACTATCTCTCTCTTGGCACTGCTTGTGACACCACATCGTAAGATTCAGTGAAGTTTATAAGGGTTAATGATATTATCCTCATGGGATTAATGATTTTTGTGAAGGCAGTTGAGAGTCTGGGATCTGTCTTTCCAGGACTGTCTGTAAGTGTTGGTGTATGAAGGCTGAATGGTGATGCTGACACCAGGGATACCCGGTCTTGGCACTTCTGGACTTAGCCTGAGAAAAATCAGTAGCCTCTCATTAGAGGGACTCTTAGAGATAGTGACAAGCAGTGGAGATGCTGGTTTTAAGAAGCACAACTGGGCTGGGCTGGTGGCTCAAGCCTATAATCCCAGTACTTTGGGAGGCCGAAGACTGTCTGAGCCCAGGGGTTTCAGACCAGCCTGGGAAACTTGGTGAGACCTCATCTCTACAATAAATCAAAAAATTAGCTTGGTGTGATGGCACATGCCTGTAGTTCCAGATACTTGGAAGGCTGAGGTGGAAGGATCGCCTGAACCCAGCAGGTTGAGGCTGTGGTGGCCGTGAGCATGCCACTATACTCCAGCCTGGGTGACAGAATGAGACACCAACAAAAAAAAAAAAGAAGAAGACGCACAACTGCCCACATACTACAGTAGGCTTCTACAGATGTTCTACAGACTCTTGACCGTGATGAGTCTTAAGAAAAATACAAGATGCTCCCAATGTCTCAGAGCCAGGAGGCATAACTGGGTTTTGCTGATGGCTGGAAATCTGGCCCTAGCTGACATGTCCAGCTTTGTCTTTACATGTTTAACACCATTATCTCATCCATCAGTGAGAATGTGTGGCACATACATTCCCTCCTCACTCTCCCCATCACGTCTCTCTCCTCCCTCCTTCAAGACCCTGACCACATGAGGCAACCTCTGTAAGACCCTCCCTGGCCTCTCTGCTTGGAGAATACCACAGCACCAAGGGATCCACTTCACTTAGGTGGCATTATGTTCACCCTTGCTAAAAGGAGGTACCTATAGAAACCTAGAATAAATTTAGTTTATTCTTAGTTGAGTCTTTTTGCCTCAGCAGAGTCATTTTGTTTAGACTTTGCCCCTGAAACACTTTGAATCTAGCTTAGCTTAGATGTAGATAGATAAATTTCCAAGGAGCAGGTTTTAGGAAGCCTTTAGACATTCTACTGCAGGCAAGTGGCAGCCTACCCCACCACTTCAACAAATCTCCATCAGATGCAAGACAAGGATAGAGCCATAGAAATGATAATGGACCACCTTTTGGTCAAAGGGTTTGTGGATTGCAAATGTCTAGTAAGTCTCTTGTAGAAAAAAACCCTCCAGGCCCAAATCCCCAAGTTAACCTAATCAGCTCTTTGTGACTTACATGACACAGACAGACCCCACATACCATGGCACAGACCATGGCAGCAATCATGTGACTAACCCTCCTATCTGCCTGCTATCCATTATTTGACCTGATGTCAGTACCTACAATTACCTACCCCTTCATAATGACGTGGAGCAGACCAGACCCAATTACCTTAATGACCTTCCCGCATTCAAGAGAAATGGTTAAAAGGACTCAACCTTGAACAGTCATTTTGCCATTGCATTGCTGAACTATGGTGTGGCCATGTGCTCTTTGAGCTACGGCCAGGTCATGTTTTCTTAAGCTTTCAACCCCTCTTCTACCTTGGGGAGGTGAATCTCCTCTTTCTGTCTTTAAATAAACTTACTTTCTAAATAAACTATATTTTCTAATCTAGCTTCTGTGCAATTCTTCGCATTTACCATGCAGCATCCGACTGCACCCACAAAGACACCCACACCCCCGGAGGGTCTGACCTAACATTCTGGAGGCCACGAGTGTGACCCTAACACTTGCTTCTAAGAAGAAACCATCATAAGTGGACCTATTTGGTTTAACTTTCCAAAACAAACAAGAATGGGGACTAAAAACAGAAGTGCAGATAACATACTTGTTGAACTTTCAAAGATTTTTCACACTAAAAATGACAAGTAAGAAGGCGAATACTGGTTTAATGGCTATACGGGCAGTCATATTTTTCTTTTCTGGGCATCACCTTTGAGTCTAATCCTCAGAATCATTTTTGCAAAGCTAGAAGAATGTAGCTTTAGGACAAGTTTGAAAGAAAGAGACAGGTACCCATTCCATGTAAAGAGAAACTTTTTGCAAGTATGACTGAACAAGAATGACAGGGGTTGATCGAAAGATGAGGAGCCCCCATGCTGCTGGGGAGACCAACACACAGACTGGACATCTTCAGCTGTGTACGTGGTGTATTCATGGGAGGGATACAGTGTTAGCCAAGTGCCAAGGCCCTTTGCTGTTCCAAGATTCTGTGATCCCACCACAAACAAGAATGATGATGACTTGTATACATTGTGATCAATAATAATAAAAGCACAATGACTGTGAATGACTTACTGTGCTGACAGTGAATCCCATTGAATCCTCGGGGACACTTGCAGACATAGCCGATGAACGTGTCCCCACGGTACGCTTCGCTTATCTCACAGGTTCCTCCATTGTGACAGGGATTTGGACTGCAGGGACCTGAAAGGCAGAAGAAATACATTGCTGCAAGGTGCACATGCTTAAAAGGAGACATTAGTTCAACATTTTTTCATTAATAATTTTACATTGAAGAGTGTTCTGAATATTAGTGGTACTGGAAATGTACTGGTTGTGCGAGCTCCAGATACTAATGGCCTGGGTTTGAATGTTGGTTTCCAAAAAAAGAAAAAAAATTAGCTGGGTGTGGTAGTGTGTGCCTGTAGTTCCGGCTACATGGAAGGCTGAGACAGAAGGATCGCCTGAGCCCAGCAGGTTGACACTGGGGCAACCGTGAGTGTGCCACTGCACTCCAGCCTGGGTGATGGAGTGAGACTCCAACTCAAAAAAAAAAAAAAAATGTTGGTTTCTCCACATTCTAGCTGCGCATTTTTGACAGATTTATGCAACCACTCGGGGCCTCTGTTTCCTCTTCTGTTAAATGTCAATACTAATGACATTTTCCTTGAGAGGTTAGAATACAGATGGAAAGAATTCATACATAGAAAATACCCAGAACAGTATCTGTCACATATTAAGGGCTCAAAAAAAAATAACGTTAGTAATAAGTTAAATATTATTGCTAAATTTCTGAATTGTGGAATACGTCTGCATGTTTAAGAAGTAATACACTTCCTGGAGTTGTGAGCACTAAAGAGCTTTGGTCCCCTGCTGGTACAAGTAGCACACGGCTGTAACCAAGCTGACCAAGTGAATCCAAGAGCTGGCTGCAATGCTTCTGCAGATATCTGATGAGGGTGTGGTGTAGCACACATCTGGAAACATTTTTTTTGCCAATTTAGAAGATGCAGCTCACCCAAAGTTGCACACTTCAAGAGAGGGGACAGTTGTTCACAGGCTTTGGGAAAGTACCTCAGCAAATATGATTCAGCAGCTGAGGAAGGTATGGTGCTAAGTTATCCCTTGGAGAAAACCAGCTTCCAGCGGGGGTGCCAACTGATAGCATCCAGCCACTGCAGGGTCCACCAGCAGCATTCATTCCAAGGCCAGGCTCCCTGGTTGATGACAGCACTGCAGAGGTGCAGAGCTGGGCCGGTCCAGCCTGATCTGGCGTTCCTCTATTGCACACTCTCTACCCAGGTGGCCCATTGATGTGGCTGAGATTATCTTAAAAGCATTCGGTGCAATTTTCTTTCCCTTCTTTTCCCCATCAGAATTGAAACACTGTGTTGCAGTCTGAAGGCTCATCCTACCTACTCTCACTCCCCCTGCCCTCTGTCCATCACAGACATTTCCCCAGTAAATCATTTGTATTTCTAATTCTGTCTTACCATCTGCTTCCTGGAGGAGGCTAACTGACTCAGAACAGGATCCAGACCAGAGGCAATGGAGAAGGGAAGAGTCAAGTTCAAGGAAGAAAAAGCTCTTCTGGGAAGATGAAGAAAGGCCATACAAAGAATGTATATATAGTTTTCTCTACCTTTGTCCATCTTTATTTTATTTTGTTTTTATTTTTTTGTCTTAATCAAACAAACTTTATAAATATATTTATTTAGTGAGAGTTGCGGTCTCATTCTGTTGCCCAGGCTGGAGTGCAGTAATCAGAGCTCACTGTAGCCTCAAGCTCCTGGGCTCAGGCAATCCTTCCACCACAGCCTCCCAAGTAGCTGGGACTGGAGGCACACGCCATCATGTCTGGTTCGTTTCTTTTTCTTTGTAGAGATGAGGTCTCGCTAGGTTGACCAGGTTGGTCTCAAACTCCTGTGCTCAAATGATCCTTCTGCCTTGGCCTCCCAAAGTGCTGGGATTACAGGTACAAGTCACCATGCCTAGCCTGTCTTTATTTTAATGGGAGAGACTGGAACACATTTGTAAGTGAAAGAAAAGCCACTGAAGAGGAAGTTAGGATGTACATGTTAGACAAGGAAAGGAATAGTGATGACCCAAGTGTTTGTTTCTGTATGGAGGGGTGAATTCCAGTGTCCTTGAGGAGGAGGAGTTAAGAAAAGGTGAGTGCTTTCACCTGAGAGAAGGCAGGTGGTTGGACTCAAGAGCAGGGGTAACTTGAGGCAGCTGGGAGGGGCCCATCAGGCAAGGCCATTCCAGGAGCATAGTAGTGAATGGGGGAATGGTTTCTGGAGCGTGGGTCAAAGCCACTTAGACTCATGGAAAGGAAAGGAAATTCCCCACCATCATTCCAACAGTGCAGTAGGACATCGCCACAGGTAGGAAGCACTGAGAAGGTGGGCAACATCTTCCTGTACTGTGTCTTCCTCCATCTTTGACACTCATTTCTTTCTGTTTGAAATGTGATGAAATTCAATGGTTGTGGAGTCTAAAAAAGACAGGAGCAACGTGGTGACTCTACAGGGCCTGGATCTTCACTTTTTCGTAGGGCTGGTTTCCAAAAGGTAAAACAGAATTGGGGGATCTGTGAATTTTCTCCAGCTATTTCCACACCAATTAAAAGCCATGTCCCCAAAATCCCAGAATTTATTTATTAAAAAATTGTGTACTTATTTTTACATGTTTAAATTTCAGTCATCTTCAAAGTACTGTCTGTTTGATACAACACACCTATTGAGATATTTTTCCACTGCCCACAAGTTTTTGAACTCATCAATTTTGATGACTTTTAGTACTTCTGCTGTTTTTTGTTCCACCTCTTCCACATTGGCAAAATGTTTACCTTTGAGGACATTTTTGCTTGTTTGTTTGTTTTTGAGTTGGAGTCTCACTCCGTCACCCAAGCTGGAGTGCAGTGGCACGCTCATTGCCACCCCAGCATTGATCTGCTGGGCTCAGGCGATCCCTCCGCCTCAGTCTTCTAAGTAGCTGGAAATACAGGTGTGTGTTACCATTCCTGGCTAATTTTTTGATTTATTGTAGAGATGTGGTCTCACCAATTTGCCCAAGTTGTTCTCGAACCTGTGGACTCCCAAAGTGCTGTGATTACAGGCTTGAGCCACCATGCCCGGTCATTGAGGACTTTTTCATCAGGGAAACCAACAAACAAAAAAGTCACTTGGTGAGATAAGGTGAAAAGGGAAGATAGGGCATGGGGGTCATACCATTTATGGTCAAAAAGTGCATAATACTCAGCATGGTGTAAACAGGTACACTTGTAAATTATCCATCATGAAATGGGAAACTCATTGAAAGCATTTTTTTTTAAATCACTGATTTTAAACAACCTCTCACAACGCTAGTTGGTACAATAATGTCAATGGGTTCTTAGAACATTTACCTAGATGGGGAAGCCTTATTGTAAGGGGCCCACCTCCAAAAGATAATTCCTGTTTTTGGGAGGTCCTCCCTTGAATTTCAGTTGACAGTTTTGTGCTGGGCAGTACATGTCAATGAAGTTATCTGCCACTTGCCTTTAAGGGGTGTATTGCCCATGTTTGAGAAGGGGAGTAAGTGCAAGAGCAGTGACTGGCTGTGGAGCAATTTGAATCACTTTCTTCCATCACCAAAAGGTGTAAATTCTGCTGTAGCACCCCTTTCTCTGTTCTTTTTTCTTAGCTTCCCTTTCTTCCCTCCTCTCAAATGAATGAACATTTGACTGTGCCTTACAATTTACAAACTTTTTTTCCATGAGGCATCTCATTTATTCCTCATAGAACTCGCGGAGAGGGCTGTCATGATCATTCCCCTTACAGTTTTACAAAACTGAAGGTCGTAAAGATTAAATAATATTTCTCAGATCTACATCTACCAGTGAAACACTCAGGCCTCCGAATCCGTGATTCTAAAACTGTACCACTCAGAGCGCTGGCCAGCTGTGAAGGAGAGAATGAGATAAACGAAATGGGAGAATTTTGACGTATCAAGTCACTTCAAAATAAGAAAAAAACAATTGACAGGTTTTTAAGGAGTGAAGGAGTGAATGGGTGAATGACTTCTGGACTGTGGGTCAAAGCCATTTAGAGACTCATGGAGGAAGGAAAGGAAATTCCCTGCCATCACTTCCAAAAGTGCATCAGGACATCAACCCAGGCAGGAAATACTGAGAAGGTGGGCAACATGCATATAATTGCTAAAGAAAAAAAAAATAATCACAGTAGAAGAATTATATAATTTTAAATAAATAAGAATCGTTGGAGATCACCTAATCCAATTTTTCAGTTTTGCAGGTGAGGAAACAAAACCAAATATCAATTCAGTAATATCTCTTAGAAAACCACTCAATGTGAGAAAAATTGGGTTTAAAGAATTGTACCTAGGAGTAAAATATAGTATTTAAACCAAAACTGATGATAAATTACTCAAGAGAGTGGAGTCACTTACATATGAGAGAAAATAAGTTCCTTCATGTCCCTGATGCTTATAGGGTTTTATGAGGGAGGGACAGGAAATGACTGAAGTGGGAAGTCCTCCACCTTTCTTCAAAGCTGTTAAAATAGGAATTCCAAGAAAGAGGACCACAGAAGTCTCTCTGACAAAAAAACAGTGAATATGAGCCTGGGGCAGACGACTTTACTCAAGGCTGCTGCATCTCTGGAAAAGTAAGCATTGGTGGGAAGGTGAGAGGAGCAAGATAGGTTTAACAGATCTGTGTACTACGGGAAGAACCAGGGTGTAGACTGGAAGGCCAAGGAGAAAAGATCCCAAAAGCAAAAACAGAAGTAGGGTCTTTGGGGAGAGTGGGAACTCAATCCATGTGCTGGAGGCTGTCATGCATGATGAAAAGTGTTGGATAAGAAGTTGTGACATAAAATACTCAGGTCTGAGTTGTTTGCACAGATGCTATGTGACTTGCCTGCTGTATACCCAAGCCTACCATAGCATCTGCTGAACACACAGCAATGTGCGGGGAAGTCAGTGGAGAGGCTGTACTATTGATGTGGTTTGTCCTGTAGCAGGGGAGAAGCATTGCAGCACAGGATGCCTGAAAGTTCTGCTGACACAGGAACCCGAACATAGAGAAGACAGGGGCATCTAATGTCCCAGATGTTCTGACCCTGCCTGGGGGCCTGTCCTCAAACTCAGTGTAGTCTCTGGGATTCCCAGAAGATGTGACCTGGTATGTGGGCTTTATGTTATTTAC